GATTCGGGGCTCGATCCCAGGACCCTGGAATCATGACCTGAGCCAAAGGCAGAGGCTTTAACCCACTGAGCCACCCAGGCACCCCCACCTACTTTTTTGAAAATGCAGGTCCATCTCTAGCCTAAAAGAGCAATTTTCACATTGTTGAAAATATCATTGTCATGTTCTCTATCTTGACTGCAGTGGTTGTTACCTAAGTATATACATTTGTCAAAAATCATCAGCCGTGCACACTTCAAATGTGGGAATCTGGGGTGCCTGGGTGGCTCAGTGGGTTAAAGCCTCTGCCTTCGGTTCATGTCATGATCCCAGGGTCCTGGGATCGAGTCCCGCATTGGGCTCTCTGCTTAGTGGGGAGCCTGCTTCCTCCTCTCTCTCTCTCTCTCTGCCTGCCTCTCTGCCTACTTGTGATCTTTGTCTGTCAAATAAACAAAGAAAATCTTTAAAAAGAAACAAGTTTGGGAATTTTATAGATAATTTTTAAACAGATATTTATTATTTATTTGACAGAGAGAGAGCATAAGTAGGCAGAATGGCTGGCAGAGGGAGAGGGAGAAGCAGGCTCCCTGCTGAGCAGAGAGCCCAATGCTGGGCTGGATCCCAGGACGCCAGGATCACAACCTGAGCTGAGGGCAGATGCTTAACCACCTGAGCCACCCAGGTACCCCAAAATGTAGGGCTTTTATTGTAGGTAATTCATACCTCAATAAATTTTATTTTTTTAAGATTTTATTTATTTATTTGACAGACAGAGATCACAAGTAGGCAGAGAGGCAGGCAGAGAGAGAGAGAGAGAGAGGAAGAGAAGCAGGCCTCCCGATGAGCAGAGAGCCCGATGCGGGGCTCGATCCCAGGACCCTGGGATCATGACCTGAGCTGAAAGCAGTGGCTTTAACCCACTGAGCCACCCAGGCGCCCCAATTTGATTTTTTTAAAAGATTTTATTTATTTATTCGACAGATAGAGATCACAAGTAGGCAGAGAGGCAGGCAGAGAGAGAGAGAGGAGGGGAAGCAGACTCCCTGCCCAGCAGAGAGCCTGATTCGGGGATCGATCCCAGGACCCTGGGATCATGACCTGGGCCGAAGGCAGAGGCTTAACCCACTGAGCCACCCAGGCGCCCCAATAAATTTGATTTTTAAATTTTAATTAACATTAATTAAAAAATAACTAACCAAAACAATTTTGGAAATTACATGATGACAAAAGAGTAATACCTTTAAGAAATTAAAGAAATAACTCCCATACCAATAAAGAGCAAGCTTATTTAATTGCTAATTAAGGAACCACCAGTATGACAGAGCTGGTTCGGAAAGAATTTGAGAGGAGTAAAGAATACTGAGTTATGATTGCTGATCGTCTTTGGTCCCCTATAGGATAACACAATTGTAACCTTTGGGATTATTTCCTTCAACAGATATGCAAAAATTATTACATCTTCTCAGCTTCCTATAAGCTAACTTCTAACTTTACAGAGTTAGAAAATATCACCGGATGCTAATCAATTGTTAGTCAAAGTTAAATTTCCTCAGAGAGTCAGATGGCTCTTATGTGGGTTTACAAGCAACCCTCTAGGCTGATATTAAAAAGGCACGCATTCACCCTATGGCATATTTTCAGATACGAGATCATTTCCCTCCACACTAGTTTTCATTATTCCATGTTTAATGAAGACAAGAAATATATTCATTTCCTGTTAACTCTGCCTAGGAAAGACAACAGTCACCTTATTAGGCGACAAATGGCTAAATGGCAACTGCTTTTAAGCCTCAATGGGGAGTGGTGGGGACTGTGGCCGACCACAACCATGTCCCATCTAAAGGGGAAAGGTGCTTGGCGGCTCCAGCCATCTGCGGCCACGTGGGGAGGGCTGGTCCTGTATTGCCGCATCTCCCCATTTTTAAGAGAATCTGGAAATTTAAAAAATGTCTGTGAAAGCTCTCAACTTTTAAATGTTGGCAATCAGTTCAAATTGTTCTAAAATACTGTGAGGGCTGACAGAATGAGGGAAAGAATGAAAGGAAAGTCCTTCTGCATCTAGCCTGACCCAGTGCCCATATCTGATCTAGAACAATACCTTCTTACAGGAAGACTGAGGCCTAAAGAAAGGAAACACTTAACCCCATACCATGAGGTGAGTTTGGGCCAGATGGGACTTTAAGCTCAAGTTCCTGGATTCCCATGTAGAAGCTTTTTCCAAAAGGCAAACATTATAAGCATTTTCTTTGTCTCCCACCAAATGCCTCATGTTTTACTTGCTGATTAACCAAATAAGAATGACTAGTATGAAAGCTTGCAGTACGCTTAGGTCAAGTTAAAGTCAGTGCGATGGGCCCACCACTGCACAGGATTTGCTTGGGCCCCATCCTGCATTCTACCCTTATTTATTATAATAATAGCACTAGGTACCATTTTCTGAGCACTAACTCTGTGCCAAGCTCTATGCTTTACTTACATCGTATCATTTAGTCTTGTGATAATCACATGACATAGGTACTACTATTACCACCACTGAGGCTCAGAAAAGTAAAGTCACTTGCTCAAAGCCATATCCCCACATATTTATGACTCCAAAGTTGATGGTTTTAGCCACTGTACTATACTATCTTTGCTCATTCATTCATTCAAGGAATCTAGCAGTCAGTCAGACGAACAGTTAACAAGGTCGTGGAGCCAGATGCTGAGCCAGGCATTATGGGGGAATATGACTCAAGTTCCAGTCCTAAAGCTCTGGGGCTGAGGCTAACTGGATTCATACTCAACCCACTTCCTATTCTCCTAATCCAAAATAACAAGTGGTTCTTGAAACACACAAGGTTGGGCTATGTAATTCATACTTCAACAAAGCTGATTTTAAAATGAGAACTATCTCCTCTAAACATTTAGAGATCCTGTTCAGATGAAAAGACTGTGACAATGCACACATATTTAGTAGATTAGATTTGACTGAGGACCAGACCTGCTAGGAGGAGGAAGACAATGGCTGACTGCTAGGATAAAGGGTTTGCACTTTAAACCCGTACTCAGTAGGTAGGCAAATCCCACAAACACGAAGAGAATTGTGCCTTAGCCAGCAGGTGCACCTTAAATTCTACAAAGAGAGGCTGGAGGAATGAAGACTACTTCGGAGGCTGTTACATGGAAAAAGATGAGGAATGAGTAGTGAAGTTATTTTCAGGTACATTCAGCAGGAGTAAAGTATAAATACCTAGATGTCACTTAAATTCTCTGGAACCAGGTTTCCAGTACGCTCTTCATTAAAAGATAACAGTGTGACGGGAAGAGAGGACTTTGGGGGCTCAAATCCTAGTTCTTCAACTTTCTTACCCTGTACAAGGGTACATATAACACCTCAGGACCTCCGTTTCCTGATCGGCAAAGTGGGTATAATAATACCTACCAGGGGCACCTGGGTGGCTCAGGTCATGATCTGCTCAGCAGGGAGCCTGCTTCCCCCTCTCTCTCTGTCTGCCTCTCTGCCTACTTGTGATCTCTGTCAAATAAATAAATAAAATCTTTTTTAAATTAAAAAAAATTAAAAAGATTTTATTTATTTATTTGACAGACAGAGCTCACAAGTAGGCAGAGAGGCAAGCAGAGAGAGAGAGAGAGAGGAGGAAGCAGCCTCCCTGCTAAGCAGAGAGCCGGATGCAGGACTTGATCCCAAGACCCTGAGATCATGACCTGAGCTGAAGGCAGAGGCTTAACCCACTGAGTCACCCAGGCGCCCCTCAGGTGATGTTTTCTTTTCTTTTCTTTTTTTTTAAGGTTTTATTTATTTTAAAAAAATTAAAAAAAATTTTTTTAAATCTACTAGTTAAGATTCTTGTAAGGGAGAAGTAAATGGTATAATATATATCAAACACTTGGTATACGGAATATGACACATATTCATTGTTCATTTCTTTCCTCGGTTTCCTTTTAGCTCCCAGTGGAGTTGGCATATGCATACGTACCGGTTATGGGGCTGAGGAGACAAAAAAATACACAGCGTTTGTCTCCATACCATACAATGAGAAACCTCACAGTGGTGTTCTGAGAGCACTACAAATTTTGAAAGTGTTTTTCAACTGTCAGAGAAAGATTACATTTTTACTGGGTTGAGTGAGAAGGAAGAACTTTTCCTGGACAAAAGCCCTGGTCCAAAGGGAGCGGGGATCCATAAACTAGTCCCCTCTCTTCAGCTCCTCGTCTGTAAAGTAGGGATGGTCCTCCCCGTCCACCTTATAGAAGTGTTTACCGGGTAGTGGGCTGTGAGAGCGCTTGCGAAGCTCATCGGCCGCTCAGGGAGCCCTTCCGTGTTTCCGGCTCCGTCCTCTCCCGTTGGGCTGAGAGCATCTCAGCGAGCGAGCCTGATGCTGCGCCCGGAACGTAACACATAGACACCTGGCTCGTTGTCGCTGTGGGGCAATGACGCTGAATTACACTTCTTCGTAAGTCAGTGATCAACGCCAGGGTTACCGAGAGGACCCTAACTAAAGGGATCTTTCGCATGTGGAAGCTATTACTCCTCAAATTGCGGCAGAGCCCCAAGTTTTAACACATTCTCACTTTCTTACTCACACTATGCACTTCCCACCAGGAAGTCCTTCTTTTTTTACGTTCACTGATTTAAAATGTATCTGTTCTTATCCCTAGAGTGCGGCTTCTTCATTTTCCTTAGTGATTGGCTGCAGATCGTCTGAAAGTGATTGGTTAAAGCATCTGCCCGTTATCTTTCCCAGGAGCCGGCGGGGGAAATGGGTTGTGGGGGAAGAGCGAGAGAGTGGCCTAAACTTGACTGTTTTATTGGCTCCGGTGGGGACGTACGGCGAGAGCGTGGCCTGTCCAAGTTTGTGACTGGCTTTTGTGTCCGTCAATCATGCTGCCGGAAACCAATTCTCTCGCCCCAACTGTGCCCGGTTGGCTGTTGGCGATGGGAGCCCGCCCCCCGCTCGGTTGCCGTGGTTGCAGGCCGGACCCGCCCGCCCGCCCGCTGACAGCGAGGCTTAGGGCGGAGGAAGCGGGTCGTTGGTCGGTCGGGAACGAGGCTCCGGCGGCCAGACCCGCGCAGAGCCGTTGCCATGGCAGCCGCCGCCGGGGGCGCGGACGAGGAGCCGCGCTCGGGCCGCTCGAGTTCGGAGGGCGAGTGCGCCGTGGCGCCGGAGCCTCTGACAGGTCCCGAGGGCCTCTTTTCCTTCGCGGACTTCGGGTCCGCGCTGGGCGGCGGCGCGGACCTCCCGGGCCGGGCGTCCGGCGGGGCCCAGTCCCCGCTGCGCTACCTCCATGTCCTGTGGCAGCAGGACGCGGAGCCCCGCGATGAACTGCGTTGTAAGATCCCCGCCGGCCGGCTGAGGCGCGCCGCCAGGCCCCACCGCCGGCTCGGGCCCACCGGCAAGGAGGTGCACGGTGAGGAGCGCGGCGGGAGGCGGGGCCCTGCCCTCCCCCAACCCCTGGGGACCCGGTCCTCGCACGGCTGAGCTCCCGGCCCATGGCGACCCCTGAGTCTCCTTGTAGGAGCCATCAGGCTGGAGAGCGGCTAAGGACCGCGAATGTGAAAGAGACGGTCTTGAAGCACTTGGTCATTCCTGGATAGAAACTTTTCATGACTCCAGGCGTTTATCAGTAGATTAAAAAAAAAAAATGGGGTACTGGCGAATACTTTTATTATCAGAGAGGGGAGGCCAGAGTCTCTAGCCAAGTTCCACCAACTTGTTTAAATGCACAGGCTGGGACTGGACTCCCCTACCTCGTTGAAGCCTTAGGCGAACCGTAGAACCTTTCAGCCTTCGTTTTCTCGTCTGTAAATGAGTACCGTACAGGGACGTTGCCAGAGTTAAGTAAGGCGACGAATCCGTAGCGATTATTCTGCTTTTGTTGTCCCAAACACTGTTGGGACATTTGTGATCATTTCTTTTCTTTTCTTTTTTTTTAAAGATTTTATTTATTTGTTTATTTGACAGAGAGAGATCACAAGTAGGCAGAGAGGCAGGCAGAGAGAGAGAGATCACAAGTAGGCAGAGAGGCAGGCAGAGAGAGAGATCACAAGTAGGCAGAGAGACGCAGGTAGAGAGAGAGAAGGAGAAGCAGGCTCCCTGCTGAGCAGAGAGCCCGATGCGGGGCTAGATCCCAGGACCCGGAGATCATGACCTGAGCGGAAGGCGGAGGCTTAACCCACTGAGCCACCCAGGCGCCCCCATTTATGATCATTTCTAATCCTCACAATAACTCAGTGGGAGCCCCATACTGTTTCCATTATATAGAAGAGGAAACTGAGGCTGGGAGCGATTGCCTTGCTCCAGGTCACATAGCTAGTAAGTGGCTGTGATGGAATCAGAACCCACCCCTTCCAGACTCAAACTCCTGCTCTTGTGTGTCCACTGTATTTTTTCTTCAGATGATAAACCTGGGGCCCAGGACGTTAGTTCTCTTTGCTCAAGGTCGCCCAGCTACTGTAAGTGGCAGAGCCAAGATCTGGCTCCAAAGGCCTTGAAGGATTTGCTACAGAATGTGGCTTTTTTGCACTAGCTCTGCCACATTTCCAGTCTTCCCTTGTTCCCAGCGTCTCGCATCCTGGTGCCTTTCTTTCCCTTTAGATGCTGTCGTGGGTGCACTATGGCTTAACTGGGCAGTCACCCACTTTCAGCTTCATCATGACTGTTTTATTTTGCTTTTAACTGGAACTCTTTTCCTCTTCACAGCTCTGAAGAGGCTGAGGGACTCGGCCAACGCCAATGATGTGGAAACAGGTGAGTGTGCAAAGCAGGTCTAGCTCTGTGGGCTGGTTAGGGAAAGTAAAATCCGGGCGACCCATCCCTGGGAAAAGAGTGCTTGAGTTCAGTATAACCCGCTCCCCCCGTGGGCTAGGCTCACTGTATATATTCTGTAACTATGATCGTCTCGCAAAAGATAAGTCTGGCTTGGATGCTTACTCTTTCCATGCCTCTCTGTCACCCGGAACTTCCTGATGTCATAGTGTTGATCACTCTGTGGGCTTCCTGCTGTTGGGACCATGTCTGCTTTCGTATCCCTGGCAGAGTAGGAGCTTTTTAGAACTTCCGGTTACTGGGAATGGACAGTCAGCTTTAGCTGCTGGCCAGGCCGCCATCGGAACAGAGCCACCGCCCTCAACTGCTCAGCCGAGGCTTTGTTGGTCAAAAGTTGGGTAGTTGGGTCAGTGGTTCTCAAACTTGTTTAGTTGACGGAACCTCGGAAAGGTATGGGAGGGGCTCCTAACAGGACGCCACTCTGGTTTTTTGTTGTTGCTCCCCTGCGTTCATTGCTGACAGGACAGTAGCAGCATCAGAGGTACAAGGACAAGTTCTAGGGGAAAGCTTGTAATTTTATCCACGTGTTAGTTTTCTAGGGCTGCTGCGACAAATTACCACAAATATAGTGGTTTAAAACAACACAAATGGGTGCCTGGGTGGCTCAGTGGGTTAATCCGCTGCCTTCGGCTCAGGTCATGATCTCAGGGTCCTGGGATCGAGCCCCGCATCGGGCTCTCTGCTCCGCAGGGAGCCTGCTTCTTCCTCTCTCTCTGCCTGCCTCTCTGCCTACTTGTGATCTCTGTCTGTCAAATAAATAAATAAAATCTTTAAAAAAAAAAATAAAACAACACAAATTTCTTTTTTTTAAATTATTATTATTTTTTAATAACACAGATTGTTTTTTAAAGATTTCATTTATTTATTTGACAGTGAGAGAGAGATCACAAGTAGGCAGACAGGCAGACAGAGAGAGAGGGGGAAGCAGGCTCCCTGCTGAGGAGAGAGCCCAATTCGGGCCTTGATCCCAGGACCCTGAGATCACAACCCAAGCTGAAGGTAGAGGCTTAACCCAATGAGCCACCCAGGTGCCCCCAGATTTTTTTTTTAAGATTTTATCTATTTATTTGACAGAGAGAGAGAGAGAGAGAGCGAGCGAGCACAAGCAAGGGGAATGGCAGGCAGAGGGAGAGGGAGAAGCAGGCTCCCCACAGAGCAAGGAGCCTGATGTGAGGCTTGATCCCAGGACCATGGGATCACGACCTGAACCAAAGGCAGACGCTCAACCAACTGACCCACCCAGGTGCCCCAACAACACAGATTTCTTAGCACATAATTCTGGAAGTCAGAAATCCAACGCAGGTCTCACCATGCTGAAAGCAAGGTGTCAGCAGAGCTGCATTTCTTTCTTAAAGCCCTAGGGGAGACTGTTTCCCTGTCTTTTCCTGCTTCTAGGAGCCGCCCACATTCCTTGGCTCATAGTCTTCTCCCTCCGTCTTCAAAGTCTGCAACAGTGGACCGAGTCTTCTCACTGCTGTCTCTCTGGTTCACACGGCAGGGAAAGGTACTCTGATTTTAAGGACTCATGTGATTAGTTTGGGCCTGAATAATCCAGGATAATCTTTCTGTCTCAAGGCTCCTAACCTTATTCATATCTGCAAAGTCTTTGCTGCATAAGGTAACCTGTCCAATAAACTTTGAGGATTAGGGCCTGACATCTTGGCGGCCATGAGCCTACCTACCTCAAGTGGACATCGTTCTGTTTTGGTGGTGGTGGTGGTGCACTGCGGTCAACAGAGAAGATGTGAGCATTGCTTGAGAGCCGTGGGATCAGAAAGCCCATTTACAGCCAGTGTGGAGAGGAAGTCATTGACCTCAGGAAGCTGGGTGTTAGAATGTGGGCCTTAAAATGGTTCCTTTAGGGGTGCCTGGGTGGCTCAGTGGGTTAAGCCTCTGCCTTCGGCTCAGGTCATGATCTCGGGGTCCTGGAATCGAGCCCTGCATCGGGCTCTCTGCTCAGCAGGGAGCCTGCTTCCTCCTCTCTTTCTCTGCCTGCCTCACTGCCTACTTGTGCTCTCTCTCTGTGTGTCAAATAAATAAATAAAATCTTAAAAAAAAAAAAAATGGTTCCTTTACCCCTGGCATAGCACGGTGAGCAGGCCTGGGAACTGGAGGGCTTTCCAGCTCTCTTCACTTTGGTCTCTTTTCCGTGAACTTTAATATTTTGGAATATTTGAGTAGCAACCTAGATAGTTTTTCAAGGAAAAATGATAAGTATTCTCCTTTGAATATCTCTGATGTGTGGCCGGAGAATATTTGAATTCTATTTCCCTTCCACAGAAAGCCTAGTTCATCCTGAATCAGATACTCATGCAGTGGTTTCAGTGTTTTGACAGAAATGCCTTCATGTTCCGGTCAGAGTCTCTAACACACCCGTGTCCGCATCTAAATGGCTCTCAGATTGACCAGGTTCTTGCAAGACTGACGGTGACCCTGGCTGTGGGGTTCGCCTGTACTCTTTTTTTCTTATGGTTTGCATTTCCTTTTCCTTCTCTGCACGTTTGTTGGGTTTTTGGTGTAGCTGAGCAGTCATATTGGACACAAAATTGATGCCCTGCTGTTGTTAAGTCATAACCTATTTTCATATACAATAAAATTATATACATTTTAAATGTTTGGGAGATGAGGGAAATATGCAATACAAACATCCATAATCAGTAGAGGAATGAATCTCTGTAAATATATTGCTGACTGTCTTTCTAGTCCTTTTTCCTATGCAGAGAAATGTTCTTTAGGGGCTTGCAAACCGTGCCAGATACTCAATCTTATATTCCACGTGACTTCATAGTCTTTGTAACCATTCATTTTTTTCAAAAGGGAAATGTGTTTTATTCCCCTATTGACAGAAAGAATACATGGCTGTATGATTTTTTTTAAGCTTATAAGGTAAAAAGCAGGAATTACCTTATAATTCCATTGTCCAGAAATAGCCACAATTTGTAATGGGAGCCCACTGTGCCTTCAGAGGAACAAAGAAAGAATTATTTAGTTAGTCATATATTTGCATAGTGGTTTCTCTTTTGAGTTGGGGAGGGCAGAAGGAAAGGGGAGAGAGGGAATCTTCTTTTTTTTTTTTGAGAGAGAGAATCTTAAGCAGGTTCCATGCCCAGCACAAAGGCTGCCACAGGGCTTGATCTCATAACCCTGAGATCACGACCTGGGCTGAAATCAAGAGTCAGACACTTGACCAACTGAGCCCCAGTTTTTCATTTTTAAGAGAATTTCCCAGGTATGGGGTTATCACATCAAAATGTATGCATATTTCGATGACTTCTGACAGATGCTGCCTCTAGTGCTTTCCAAGAAGACTGTAACTGTACAAATCATAAAAGAGAACGGACTCTTTTAGCTTTGTCTATTCTCTCTGGCTGGCTATCTTTTGGTGAATGTACCAGGCTGACCGGTACATTGTTTCTCTTCCACTCTCATAAACCTGTTCCTGTCACCTTCATTCATTTCTTTAGTCAGTGTGTCAACAGTGTTCATGGAGCTGAACAAGTCTGATCTTGATCCTGGGTATTAAGTAAGATAAACAAAAAAAAATGTACAATATAATTGGAGAAAAAGAATGTGAAGTGATACCATTTTTCTAAAACAAAACCCCCCGGAAACACTGATGTATTTAGTGGGAGAGGCAGAAGTTCTAGAGCCAGAGAAGCCAGGGAAACCTGGGTTTCTTTCCCAGTTTTGCTTCCTGGTAGCTGGGTGGGGGCACCTGGGGCACCTCCCAGAATGGGATGCGATGCCTGGCTGGGTGGGCGAGGGGCTTAGCAGACGGTGCCCGGTGCCAGGCTGGTGTTCAGCATACTCCTCAATGTTCTAGAATGGCCCAGCGTGTTCACATTAGAGGAGCAGGGCAAACAGGGCCCTGAGGAGACATGGGAGCCGGAGTGGCTATCTGAGCCTGAAGAGGAAGAGGAGGAAGAGATTCTGGGCTTTGTCTGGAGTCCTTGAGAGGTTTGCCGGCAGAGGCTAAACTGGGGGTTGCTCTAAAATGCAGCAATTTCTACATTTCAGCTGGGCGTATGTGTGTGGCACGTAATGGCTCGTGGTTCATAATGGCTCCATGTTGTGAAAAGAAGGCATTTCCCATCCATTACTCTCATCAGACCAGCTCTGGAGATTGGCGATTATTCCCATTTGCAGTGAATTGGGACCCAAATTCAGGCCTTCCGACTCCCAGCTCAGCTCTTTCTACAGCCCCGTGCTGTCAGCAATGTACTCCTTTCTTCGTTACTCAGCTTCGCCTGGGACTTAGTCCATGCGGCTCCACGTCTGTGCTCTGGCCCCTCCGGAGGGCCACCTCCTGGGAGTGAAGGCAGCATTCCCCAACAGCTCGGGCAGCTGTGTCCAGCTGGAATGGATGCGTATCCGAATGGATGTGTGGCCAGAGTCCGTGCTAGGGATTGCTGTGACTCTAGAATTCCTGACTCCGAGGGCCAAGATTCTTCTATGATGTTCTGTCTCTAGACACAGAGTTTGAGCCGCCACAATTTGTGGTCCTCAGTCGTGCTTTCGGGAGAACAAGTCCCTTATCTTGGCATCCCTTATCTTGGCCGGCTGGAGGCCGGCATCCAGGCAGGATGAGCTCTCCCCTGGCTTATCGATGCCCAGCCCGGAAGCACCCCAGAGCACCCTTCTTTCCGCCCTGGGAGCTGCTGCTTAGCTAACACTGCCTCTCTGTCCCCCTGCCCCTCTGTCTTGGTGGTGTCAGTGCAGCAGCTTCTGGAAGATGGCGCTGATCCCTGTGCAGCTGACGACAAGGGCCGCACAGCTCTGCATTTTGCCTCCTGCAATGGCAATGACCAGATCGGTGAGTCCTGGGCATGGGGCAGGGAATGGGGCTGGCCGAGGAGCATCGCGGCAGGGGTGCTGGGGGAAGATCTGTCTACACCGCCAGGGTTGCGGCCACTCCTTCAAGACATTCAGGCAGCATTTACTCAGTGCCAAGTGTCCAGCAGGACAAACCTCTGTCCCCCTACAAAGTCCTTTTTGCGTGTGGTATAACTTACAAACAGTGACCTTTCTGTATGTGTGCGCTGATGTTACTGCCATCCGGATCAAGATAAAAGATAGTTTCAGGAGCACCAAGCCGGCTCAGTCAGTAGAGCATGAGACTCTTGGTCCCCAGGTCATGAGTTCAAGCCCCATGTTGGGTGTAGGGCCTACTTAAAAAAAAAGAAAGAAGGAAAAAAAAGAAAAGAAAGAAAGAAAGAAAAGGAAAGAAAGGAAAAGTGTGTATACTGTCCCCGTATACACTCCCAGCAGCAATGGAAGAGTTCCACATTTTTCCCCAGCCTTGCTGACACTTGGTATTTTGTCTTTTTTTTTTTTTTAAAGATTTTATTTATTTATTTGAGAGAGAGACAGTGAGAGAGAGCATGAGAGGGGAGAAGGTCAGTGGGGGAAGCAGGCTCTCCATGGAGCTGGGAGCCCAATGTGGGACTTGATCCCAGGACTCCGGGATCATGACCTGAGCTGAAGGCAGTTGCTTAACCAACTGAGCCACCCAGGAGCCCGGTATTGTGTTTTTTAATTTTAGCCATTCTAGCATGGTGGCATCTTATTGTGGTTTAATTGATGTTTCTCTGGTAGCGACAAATGTTAAGCATGTATGTATTGGCCATTTTTGTAGTCTCTTGTGTACATATTGGCCATTTTTATATTCTCTTTTGTGAAGTTCCTGTTCATGTCTTTTGTCTGTGTTTTCTTTTCTTTCTTTTTTTTTTTAAAAAAGATTTTATTTATTTGACAGACAGAGATTACAAGTAGGCAGACAGGCAGGCAGAGAGAGAGAGGGGGAAGCAGGCTCCCTGCTGAGCGGAGAGCCCGATGCGGGACTCGATCCTGGGACTCCGGGATCATGACCTGAGCTGAAGCAGAGGCTTTAACCCACTGAGCCACCCAGGCACCCCTGCGTTTTATTTTCTTAAAGTTTTATTTATTTCTTGACAGGGAGAGACACATCAAGAGAAGGAACACAGACAGGGGGAGTGGGAGAGGGAGAACAGGTTTCCCGTGGAGCAGAGAGCCCGATGCAGAACTCGAACCCAGGGCCCTGGGATCATGACCTGAGCAGAAGGCAGACGCTTAACAACTGAGCCATCCAGTTGTCCATGTTTCAAAACAAGCTGCCTGGTGGTGGTTGTTGTTTTAATTATTTATTTGTAGAAATTCTTTATATACTCTGGATAGAAGTCATTTATCGAATATAAATGACTTAACTTTTCTTATCTTGCCTTGTTCTCTGAGTGGTGTCTTTTGATGAACCCAAGTTCTAAATTTTAATGAATCCAGTGCATCCATCTTTTCTCTTTTGTGGTTAGCATTTCTGTGACCTACTTAAGCAATCTTTGCCTATCCTGAGGTCATGGAGATACAGTCTTTTTTTTTTTTTTTTAAGATTTTATTTATTTATTTGACAGAGATCACAAGTAGGCAGAGAGACAGGCAGAGAGAGGCGGGTGGGGGGGAAGCAGGCTCCCCACTGAGCAGAGAGCCCGATGCGGGGCTGGATCCCAGGACCCTGAGATCAAGACCTGAGCTGAAGGCAGAGGCTTTAACCCACTGAGCCACCCATGCGCCCCCACGGAGATATAGTCTTGTTTGCTTCTACAGGCTGGCCTTAGAGCTTGCACATGCAGGTTTATGATACGACTCCCATGCGTTTCTATACTCAGTGTGCAGCCCAGCCTGGCTGCGTCATACGTGTTAGTCTACCTGCACACCCGTCGCGGTAACTGATGGCCCCGGGCGATGCCGCAGCCCACCCTGGAGGTGGCGTAGAGACTTGGGGAGGGCAATGATCAGCATCAGCTGTTGGTGTAATTCCCGCTGTGGCACTTGGCTGTGGAAAGAGCAGAAAGTGTCCTTGACAGCCTTTACCAGCAGCCACTGCTGTTGAAAGAACTTTCTTTAACCCTTAAAAGCCCCGTCCTTTCGCAGTCCTGCATAGGCCGGAAGGCTGTCCCGGAATCCTCAGTGCCCGGCCCTCAGGGTCCTATACATAAGTCCTGCGAGGGAGTAAGTGAGCGAGTGAATGAACGACTGAATGAAATGGACAAAACAATGTAGAGAACCGTGTTGCGTTCAGTGTCCCACACTTTGAGGAAGCCTCTTTAGCTAGGTTCGGGGTGGGGGTTAGTGTCCAGTCCATAGAAGTCCTCCAGCAACTCTTCGTGGGTTTTGCTGTTTCCAGTGCAGCTGCTCCTGGACCATGGGGCTGATCCCAACCAGCGAGACGGGCTGGGGAACACGCCGCTACACCTGGGTAAGTGCCTGGAAAGCCGCCAGCCCACCCTTCTGTGCAGCGCAGGTGGGCTGCTCTGCTGGAGAGCCTGAGGTCCTGCAAACTCCCAGCAGGATCTCCTGTCATCTGGGGAGAACCTGAGCCCCCGGGGGCTTCCCTGCCCCCACACTCTGTCCCCTGGCCTTCCCCTTCGGTCCCCAGGGGGCCATGCCCTGAGCACAGCTGCTTTAGCAACCTCAGAGGCTCAGCGGGGCTCTGCTAGGGAAGGTGAGACCTGCAGCCTGTGGCTGCCCCACACTGTGGCTGGCAGTGAGGTGGGTCCCATCTCCCAGCCTCAGTCTCCCTAGCTGTACAGGGAGAGATTTGGGCCCGCCCCATGGCGGCTTTGGTGATGCTGTCTCTGGAGGTATGACCTGGAGCGGACACACTCGGGAGTCACGGTCCTCCTCCCTCCGGTGGGCACACCGGCCCAAGCCCTGTTGTTCGGGACTCTCATGGCCCCGTTCTTCTTCCTCAGCGGCCTGCACCAACCACGTCCCTGTCATCACTACCCTGCTACGAGGAGGTATGTGCTCCCTTCCCCTTCGCTCTCCTCCCTTGCTCTCAACACCCCGTGTGCTGACTTCAGCCCGCTCTTGCAGGGGCCCGTGTGGATGCCTTGGACCGAGCTGGCCGCACGCCCCTGCACCTGGCCAAGTCAAAGCTGAACATCCTTCAGGAAGGCCACTCCCAGTGCCTGGAGGCCGTGCGGCTGGAGGTAAAGCAGGTGAGTGTCCGTCTTGCCGAGCCAATGGCAGCAAACCGGCCCCACGCAGGGGCTGCCCAAACACAGACACGCCAGCAAACAAGCCCGGGGCAGGGGCTGCCGGGACCACAGACATGCCCGCTTCCAGCCCGAGGGCTCCCGGCTGCTTCCCACCAACCCCATTTGGCGTCTGGGCCACCTAGCTAGAACCCGGGCAGCTCAGTCCCGCCCCTTGTTCCAGATCATCCAGATGCTGAGGGAGTACCTGGAGCGCCTGGGGCGGCACGAGCAGCGCGAACGGCTGGACGACCTCTGCACCCGCCTCCAGATGACGAGCACCAAAGAGCAGGTGAGCGCCGGTGGCCTGGCTGGGCCTAGGACCCGGCAGGAGCTCGGGGCCAGTCCCTCTCTGCTGTGACACAGCCAGCCACTCATGCAGAGAGAGGCCGCGGCTGCGGGGTTGCAGCCCGCTGTGGACCCCAAAGCCTCTGTCCATCACCTTTGAACCTCCTTGTGCCCCGTGGCTCTTCTCTCTGGGGCAGTCTGAGACCCTGGAGTCAAGGATCATCAGTCGGACGGCTGTTCCGTAGTCCATGGTGAAGCCGCCACGTGCCCTGGGAGGAAAGACTGTACCTACCCTCCATGTCGGTGGCACTGGGGTGGAGATCTGGGGCCCGAGACACCTGGGCCTGTTGTGGCACCTGTGACGGGGCGCTGGTTTTGTCCCACAGGTGGATGAAGTGACCGACCTCCTGGCCAGCTTCACATCCCTCAGCTTGCAAATGCAGAACATGGAGAAGAGGTAGCTAGAGAGGCTCCCCGCCGTCCCGCTCAGCTGCTGCCTGCCCCTGCCCGCACCGCTCTCTCAGTACCAAGAAAAAGCCCAACGCCTGGGACTTTGGAGCTGCACTTCTGTGGTGAGGCCCTCGCGCCCAGATGCTCCGGGCCACAGATGCTCTCGCCGACCGCAGAGCCACTCCCAGCCACGGCCTCTACCATCTCCGTGGGCCGGGACCACAGCCCCCAGCTTCTTCCTCTGCTCCCACAGCACTGCAGCCGCTCAGGGCCGGCCCACGTGCACCGGCCCAGCCAGCCCCACCTGTCTCGCGGCCTCCCCGGCCCCCTCAGCCAGCCCCAGACCCTTCTCTACGTCCCTTTCCCGGCCAGGGGCTTGTTGTGGCCAGCAGCGTGTGGGCTGAAGGCGGGCATCCTCGGGGGCATCTTGGCTGGCCCCGCGCCCCTCCCCAGCACTTAGACTGAGGCTTGTCACCTGCCTTTCGAGGAGACGTCGCAGTGAGTTTCTCCGGGCGGAACGGAGGGTTGCTGAAGCCAAGACCTCAGAAACACAGGGTTAGGAAGGACCCTGCGGAACCCAACGCAGAAAAGGCCCAGACTCTTTTGCCCAGTCGTTAAAATACCGGGAGGGAGGGCGAGGCAGGCCATTCTGAAGCCTAGTTGTAGGCTGAATAGTACCCCCCCCGCCACCCCCTGCCGCAGATGTCCCTGTTCTTACCCCAGGAACCTGTGAACATTATTGGGCAAAAGGGACTTTGCAGGTGTAATTACATAAATGATCTGTGGACCAGGAGACTCTCTGGATTACCCCGGGGGCTTCACGTAGTCACAGGCATCCTGATGGGAGGAAAGCAGGAGGTGAGAGCTGAGGACCCCAGGCACCCACAGAAGCTAGAAGAGGCAAGGAAAGGGAGGCTCCCTTCAGAGCTTCCTGAGGGAACCAGCCCGGCTGACACTTTGACTTTAGCCCAGTGAGACTGATCTTAGAATTCTGACCGCCAGAACTGTAAGAGAATAAATATGTGTCGTTTTAAGCCACTAAGTCTGTGGACGTTTGTTGCAGCAGTGACGGGAAACTGACATGCTCCGCGGAGGCACCCTGCTTGGCCAGTGGACCTGCAGGGGTCCCCCGGGGCCTGGCAGGGGGCCTGGCAGGCAGGGAGCAGGAGGGCAGAGCACCCCCGACCGGGCCCTCTCCAGGGCACTGACTACAGAGTACAAACTCCCCAGGCCACTGACCCCGTGCACCCTGGCCCAGCACCACGTTCCCGCGGAGCACACTGGAATCCTGGCTACTTTTCAGGGGGGGAGCTGCCCCCCAAAGCCCAGCCTTACCCGATCGGAGCTGAACCCATGGCTCCCAGCTGCTCCCCAGACCCTGAAAAGTGTCTCTGTGGGTATGGGACACAGGCTGGGAGCTGCCTTCAGGACTCAGAGGAGAAACCCCACCACTTCGGCAGCATCCAGGGAGGGAAAGTGTGGCGCTAGCACCAAGACTGGGGACAGAGGGCCAGAGGAAGTCAGGTTTCCACGGGGCCCAAGCCGAGTGAAGTGGCTGCGGGTCCACATGGAGGAGTGAGGGAAAGAGCACTCGGTTGGGGCCGGGGAAGCGGAGAGAAGCGAATGGCGGGGGAGGAGTGGTTCGTGGGCGAGGGGCGGGGAGCGGCCCTGCGCGAGTGAGAGGTGGGCTGAGCGGGGGGGCGAAGTGGAGGAGGGGCAGGCTGAGGGGAGGAGCCCCGAGAGGGAGGAGGTACCCTTGAGAGAAAACAGTGGACTGAGGGGAGGGGAGAAGTGGAGGCGGCGGACTGAGGGGAGGAGCCACGAGGGGGAGGAGCTCCCGTGAGGGAGGGGCGGAGAGAGGGGAGTGAGGGAGAGAAGTACAGGGGCGGGGCGGTTTTTCACTCGGTTCCAGGACGCCTGTGAGTTGGCCTTCCGCAGGGGCTCTGCTGGTGCTGGTACCTGGACACAGGCCCCTTGGCCCGTGGCCCTGGGGGTGGGGCTGGGCAGAGGAAAGTCAGGGCAAAGGAGAGGTAGGGGTGGGAGGGAATGGACCTCAAAGGCTGTGGACCCCTTCTCTTGCGGCCTGCTTCTCTGGACCTCCCGTAACCATATTCCTGGGACTGATCACCTGGGGAGAGGTGAAGCAGTTTCTCAACCTCAGGTCTCAGGGGTTCAATGAATGCACCCTCAGAGAGGTATGATCCGCCTGAAGCCGTGCAGGACCTTGTGTGAAGAGTGTACATGTGTTTCTGACAAAAGTGACCATAGGTTTCGCTCTCAGCAGGGTCTACCTTCAGAAGAAGTTAGGAACTCTTGCTACAGAGCTTTGGTAGCAGATAGGTAAGGTCAAGGACACTCTGGGGACCACTTGGGTACTTCTGAGCTTGGGTACTTCTGAGACGGGTTATGCCCTTGAGCAGGCTGCTTTGCCTGGACAGAGCCGAGAGGGTGGGGGCTGCTGGGACTTTGTGAAATTGCCCTGAGATGACTGCAGCTGTTTCTAGAACAGTCTGACACAGAGACTCACTGGCTAACTCCTAACAAGTCCATGGCCTGGACCAAGCCAGCCCCACCTGGAAAGCAGGACACATCCCTGCAACATACTCTATCCCATGGTGCCACCCGCTCCTGGCCCCTGGAACCACATCGCCGTGAGAATGGGCCACTGGGACAAGGGAAGGAGTTACTGTCCACTCTCCCCCCCCCACCCCAGCCGTATAAGCCAGTCCGGCCAATCTGTCTTACCCCATTTCCAGCCAGGAAGTGCCTGCCACCCCAAATCTGTCCGGACAGCCACCCGTTATAGTCTGCTCCAGACACTGGAGTGAGTCAAAAAGCACACAAGTGGGCCCTAAGCTGGCTGAGCTGGGCAGGGGGCAGGATGGAGAACTCCTCAAGGTCACCCGTAGAGGGGCTAATTCTGTTCCTAGCTGCTCTGGGAGTTACTGAGTTGAGGGGGTGGTGGAGGGAACAGAAGGGGAGCATGTGGGGCCGGTGGAAGAAGAAGAAATCCACCTCCACTGATTTCACCTTCTGAGCAGGGTCCTTTGTTTTAGATCTCACGTTTCACCGTCACAAACACTTCCGGGACACCAGCTATGCCCTTGGTGGGAGTGTGGCCGTGGACAGGAGGACACAGTCCCTGGCAAACAGTGGGGAGTGATTACAGGAGAATAGCCACAGGTTCTCACAACCATCCTTCCAGACCACTAGGCTCACTGCTACTTTTGATAGCAGAGAAAATGCAGGTTTGCCAGGGTGACCCGGCTGGGCAGCTGGGCTGGAGCCTGGGTCCACCCCCAAACTCATGCTGTTCCCACCATGCCCGACATTAGAGCCTTCTCAGAAGCAGAGTTTCCCAAAACTGAGGGGGATCATGTTTGCTGAGTTCCTACTAGGTGCCAGCAGGCCCTTTCTCAAGTCCTTTGCTTCAGTGCTTGGGATAAAATGTTAGGTCGCCAACATACTTCGCTGCTATTTTATGGATGCAGAAAATTGAGGCTCAGAGAGGGAAAGTAACTTGCCTGAGGTCAGAGAGCTGGTGTGTGGGGCCCAGCCCAGGGCTGACATGATCTCTGCCAAGGTTTCCAAAGTGCCAGTGGTCACCAGTGTCCCCTGGGGCACAGTTGGTAGGAAGTGCTGGACCTTACTGAGTGAACATCTCTGTCCCCATGAGGGGAGGGTGAGGTCCTTTACTTGCCGAGCACATGACACCATGGTCTTGGTGGACAAAGCAGGCATCTGGTCACTAGAGGTCAGAGAAAGAGGACAGTCTGAGTTGGTGAGGCTGGAGGGGCCCTTGATGATCTTGGGGGGTTGCCTCCGCTATCACAAGCCTGCCCAGGGTGGTGGAGAGCTGGGCAGATGGAGGGAACAGCGTGAGCCAGGCCTAGAGGCTGGAGGACAGGCAGAAGCTGGTGGTGGTGGGTCCCGGAGACCGTGGAAATTGCTGGGCCCAGGAGGGTGAGAGGCTGGCCAGAAGGGAGGAGGGGACGAAGCTGCAGATGTCCTGAGGTCTGAAGATTTGCCCTGGTGGCAGAAGCCACATCCACCTCCACGCTAGAGGTCAGGTGCATTCTTACTCAGAGCAGGCACCATGAACTCCAGGGAAAAGCCCCTCTGGGAAAAGTCATTACCTCTACCAGTGCTTCCCAGACCGCTTCAAATGCTGAGCCCAAGGCTGGCTTAGAGGGGATCGGGAAGCTGGTCTGATGCCCGGGCGATCCCAACAAAGTCCCTGGCTCCCCCCAGTTCTGGGTCCCAAAGGGAACTATAGCCCTGCCTCTCCAGGGCTGGCCCTCAAGCCGATACAGAAGCCTCCGAGCATCAGGGAGATATGATCAGCTCCCTTTCCACATAAGGAACCAGGCTCAGGGAAGCAAGAGTCCTTCCCAAAGCCCCAGCTGAGGGGCCAGAGTGCTTGTCCCTGGGACTAGTCCATGCCAGCCTGGTGAATTTCTCCCACTTTGAAAGCCTGGGAGGGTGGCACGAGTCACCACAGGACTTGGCAGTCGGCTCACCCCGAGGGGCAGAGGTGGGTAAGTCATGCCTCTTGGGCTGGATTGTGAGGGCTTTGGTGGAGACCAGACTGGAGACGTTGCTGGCAATGTCACAAACACGTGGCAGCGGCCGGGGAGCCACGCAGGGTGGTTTGCCTCTAATGGGACCTGGCTCTGAGAGCTCAATTCTGCAAGCCCCCAAGGCACAGAGAGCTCAAGAACATGAGGTGCAGGAGCCGGGGTTCAAATTGACTCCCCAGGTGCCCTGACCTCTGCACTCTGCCACGGACCGCTCTGTGTCAACCCTGCACGTCCCGTCCACCCATCAGACACTCAGGCCGGCACCCTCCCCAGCATCCCAGGAACTCTGAGCTCGTGCCCTGCATACCGCCCCACCTCCAGCTTCTGTATCACCCCTGCACAGAGCCTGAGCCGCCACGTGGCATCAAGCAGATGCCTCAGTAAATCAGAGTGTTGTCCACTTAAGCCAGAAGCCATGCCCCCCCGCCTCCCGCCTGTGCACAGCTTGTTCCTCTGGCCTCGTGCCTTCTTGGATCTGGCTGGCAGCTCGAAAATGAGCCCTGAGTCAGGCCCGAGGAACTGGTGTTCATTAACAGGAAGTCTCGGGGTGGTTAATTGGTATTTTCATCCCCAGGTACACACCTCGAAGTTGATGGATGATGCCGTTCCTGCCAGCCTGAAGCAGGGAGAGGGGCTGAGCAGCTGTGCCTGGGCCCTGCCCTCACTCACCCTGCCCAGGACTGAGTGTCGGCCCAGGCTACCGCTGTTACACAGGGTGGTGAGCTGGGGCGGAGGGCGGGGGGTCACCTTTGCACATGCAACTTCCTCCCTCCGCTTCAACCAACTCCTTCCTGCCTCTTCTCCCTAAAGACTGTGGAACAGAGATCAGACAGACCTGAGGTAGACCCATTGGGCAAGTTACTTAATCTCTCGGGGCCTCTGTTTCTCCAACTGCAAGTTCTAAAGCAGAGGAGACACATTCCAGGGCCAAAGCACAAGGCCTGAGTGTAGCAGCTGCCCTGTGGACACCCCCCACTGTGCCCCCCCAGGCCCCTCAGTCTCAACGTGTTCCCCCCAAACATGTGCCCCCATTATTCCCCCCTGTCACCCCCAGTAGCCCAGGCCAGAAGTCTGGAATGTAAGCTGGGACACTCCCCAACATTTAGTCACCAAGCTCCAACGAGTGTACCTTGTAAGTGGTTGTCCTGTCTATCCTCACATCCTCACCATCAACATCTTAGATATCTCCGTCTCTCCAGATTCTCCCACCAACCTCCTAACTGGTGTCCCTGCCCTGCCCCCATCTCATTCTGCCCTCCTCCCCAGGAAAGCCTGCCTGGCAACCAGAAAGTTCCCTAAAGGGGAAGTCTTTTTACTCTTCTGTTTACAACCTTTCAGTGGCTCCCTGTTGCCCTCAGGACAATTTACAGCCTCAATTTCAAAGAGGACTGACAGAATCCTTTGAGACTGTCCCCACCACTCCCACCTCACTTCCTGCTGGGGCCCCTCTGTACCTGTGGCAGATCCTCAGCAGACCATGCTGTGCCTGATGCCAGGTGGCCTGTGCCTGACTCCAGGTGGCCTGTGCCCACCCATGTTCTTCCATTGTTCTCTTCCCCATCTACCCTGACTGACTCCTACTTTAGGACTTGGGTTGGGCACCAGCTCCTCCAGGAAGTCTTCCTTGCCTGCCTAAGCTGGGTTAGGGCCTTCTGGGCTCCTCTAAGCCCCCATGCTTCTGCCTTTTCCTCCTTCAGAGTAAGTGCTCAGTCATGAGCACTGCAGGCCCTCCCTGAGCAGTTTGCACCAACAGGAGGATGAGAGGACTGCAGAATTCAGACCTCCTTACAACTCAACTCCTATTGGGACCCCCAGGCTGTCCCCAGGCCCAGCCTGAGATCCAGCTGGGGGCTCAGGTTGAGTGGATTCTCGTGAGCCTCGGAGAATGGCCAGAGCACATTCGGCCTCTCCTCCAGCCCCCAGTGCCCGCCTGGGGCCCTACAGGACTCACATTTCTCTCCAAGCCAAAACACTATGACCATCTGCTCTTCCAAGCATTTCATTAGGCGCCTGAAGCAGACCCAGGGGTCTCCGAGGCCGAGCCCAAGCCCAGCAGCAGGCCATCAGTCTTCCTGCCAAATCCAAGGCAAAAGAGTTTCCCAGCCCCAGGCCAGGCCCTTGGCGGCGGCCTTCCTGGCCGAAGGCTCATAGAGCCGCCTCTGGATCGGTGGCTCGCTGCCAGCCTGGTGTCTCCAGCCCAGCCTCCATGTAGCCAGGCTGGGGGCTTCCCAGCTACACGTTTGGCGGGGCGCATCCTAAAAACCTTCAGTGACATCACTGCCTGCCGAAGGATGAGGTTCCTGCTCCCCCAGCTGGCCCAGGAGGCTATGTGATCTCACTGCACCCGCCTTCCTGGCCTCCCCAGACTCCTCCCACCCTGCTCGCCTCAACTGCACAAGCCCCCTATTGCTCCTGCCTGTACCCACCTTGGCAAGGCTGCTGCTCCAGCTGGCAGACCCCTTTCGCCTTTTTTAGGAACTGCCACCTCCTCCAGGACTCCTGCTTGGATTGCCCAGGAAGGCAGGAGTTTCCTCCTCTGTGCCCTTTCAGAACAGTGTGTTCTCCCATACCGGCCTTGCCACACAGCGCTGTCTTTCCTTCTTTTGGTGTTTTCCTCTCCAGCTAGACAGAGGAGCTCCTGGAAGACAGGGACCAGGTCAGACTCAGACCCTCTCTGTGCTCCCCTCATGGCATAGCTTAAGGCAGGCACCCAGATGCCTGGGGGGGGTAAAGGAAAGAAGGAAGGGAAGGATCATTTCCATCTTTGTGTATCAAACACCTTTCCTGTCTTGCTCTGGTCCAGGCTCTTCTGTCCTCCATTAGTCAGAGCCTCCAGTGGGCTGGAGAGACTCCCTTCGGAAGTAGGAGGCCCTGGAGTCCAGCCAGGGGCCTGGGTTCTACCACGGTTCCTCTGCCAGGGGAGCAGAGACCCAGGCCACTGTGGAGGGTTCCCCCTGACCGCCCCCCTCCACTCACCCCTGTCCTGGAGTTTCATGCAGGTTCGTACTGGCTCTGCCCCTCCCTGGCTAGGTGATCCTGTCTCTTGCCTGTCTGGGATGGACGATGTTCCCAGTTGGGTGCCTGTCCCTGCTCGCAGAGTTGACCAAGGAGCGGCAGCCCAGCAGGGTGGCTGGCCCAAGGAGATGTCGCTCCCTGTTCTACTTAGCAGGAACTCACCAGTGTGGTGTGGCGAATTTTGTCGGGCGGTCTTAGATGTTTTCCCATAATGCCCAGCCTGCCAGGAGAGCCCTCCGTCGGGCCCAGGTCGGATCCCAGCTCTGGTCAGCCTACCTCATGTCCTGGATCCTCAGTTTCCACTTGTGAAAATGGAGGTAGTATCTCTTGTCTGCGAGGCACAGGGGAGCCAGTGCAGGAGTGAGCGACCGCCATGTGGAGGTAGAGGCCACGTGGGTGGCCTGCCATTCGGGAAACACTCCCACCATTGGGGCCAGAGCCAGCCACGGGAACCTTGGCAGAGACACAGTAGAGAGAACACTGGACCTGGGGTCAGGCCCCTGCGCTGGGCTCTCAAAGCAGTCACTTCCCCAGCCCGTCTCAGCCTCCCCCTGTGAAGGGTGACTGACACTCTGACCCCTGGCTCTGCGGCAGGTGGCAGGCAGTGAGGCGGATCAGCAGCTGCCTCGTGTCCGGGAGGGGCCTTCCCAGGGTGCCCAGCAGCTGGGAGGTGTGCCAGGGAGACAAGGAGGCTGAAAGGTCTCAGGCCTCAGCCTGAGCTAATAAATATTATTGGCGTGGGGTGGAGGGAGGGAGGGAGGGAAGTGGGTAGCTCTCCAACCATTGAGACTGATTTATTGGTTAATTAGCAGGTTGCCACAGCCACGGACTACCCCGCTGTGTGCATGGACAGGGAGGGAGGGGGCCACGGGGAAGCCGGGGCTGCTGGCTGGGACCCAAGTGTGGGTCCGTGTCTCACCTGAGCCAGGAGCAGCGAGTGGCTGAGGGAATAATGCAAGGGATTTGGGTCAGACAGTAGACCTGGGACCGGGTGGCTGGGGAAGGCTGGGGAAGGCCATCAGGTCTCATAAGGCCATCAGCTGGCCTGAGTGGTGGAACAGAACTATGCTAAGAGAGGGGACTGGGAGCTCTCTGAGGTTTCCAGAGCATCCAGTCAAGTGTGGGAGCTGCTGGTTTAGGGAAGAGGGCCGATACAGAATCAGGAAGGACCAAGAAAAACCTTGGAAAACACAGAAACTGAGAACAGAGGCCCCAGAGGTGAAGCCGGTTCCAGGGAGCAGACCAAGTTAAATGGCGGCGGGTTTCAACCAGCTTCCGCCAGACACTAGCTATGTGACCTTGGGCAAATCACTGAACTTTTTTGTTTGCTTGTTTTTAAAGATTTTATTTTTATATAATCTCTACACCCAACAGGCTCAGAACCTATAACCCTGAGGTCAAGGTTCACATGCTCCATTGACCCGGCCACCCGGGTGCCCCAAATCCCGAACGCGTTCTTTTCTTTCTTTCTTTCTTTCTTTCTTTCTTTCTTTTTTTTTTTTT